CACAGAGCGCAGGGTGCGCAAGCAACAGCACACGCTCCCGAGCAGGTCAAGCGAAACACACTGAAGTACGCCACGAAGCTTGCTCCAAATGTTGGCCGGCAAGTCCTTCTTGGAGACGTGCTCCTGGAAGCCAGGCCATGCCCGAAATCAAGAGTGACATACAACTTCCCCCTACAAGACTGCTCCTTGCACGCATGCCCTACGTGTAGTCTCCATTGCAGTTCACTGAAGACTATAGGTACAACCACAAACTCAAGCCACATCGTGTTCGCCCCCAGCCGCTCAAGCCCAAGCCTTCGGTACAAGAGCGGTCTTGAAAAACTCCGTACCTGTCAACCTTTCCTCCACTCTGTGAGGAAAGCACTTGGCACTGGCGCTCATCGTGGCAAGCCATGCTTCAAGCTTGTGTTTGGAATGTTTCTTGTCTAGAAATCTCTGACCCGAACTGATCTGATCTCTCCCATTCAGCACTCTTTTCGCTGAAACCTGCAACATCAGGCCGCATGCAAGATAACTAGCCTTGCCATGGTATTCGATGGGGGGGACCCAACAAAAGCACCTAAACAATAACGGCAAGGTTGAGATATCCCATAATTACCTCTGTAAGTATGCCAGTAAGAGCCAATACGGTAAGGATATCCCGCGCTAAAGTTTTTGTGTGGGTGCTGTTGTGGTTCCTGAATACAGTCTGAAACCAGGTGGCCGCAACACGAACGCTAAACAATGGCTCAGGGCAATCATCAGAACTCACATCAGCTCCGCCAAGACAGAAAGGAGAGGGGTCCGTCTGTCGCTGCGACTTCTTCACCTCGTAGGCACCGGTGTTGATCACCTGTCATCACCAGTTAGTGGAAGTTGCGTCCGGAGCCAGGATGTCTTCTTTGATGCCCACGCATGAAACAAAAGCCATCTAGGTTAGATCCATACACCTGTTGGGCAAGATCATTGTTCAAAAAACAGTTCTTGCACTAAATTCACACACACATATACACACAAGCAAACATATCTGCAAGCGCTGTCATGTGCAAAGGGGCTTCGCGTCCTCGTGCGAACCCTTTCCATTTAGAACCTCTGCTTCCCAATTTCAAGCATGCAACACCTGAAGCATAATCCATGAACCCATACGTTGCTTCGCCTGAACCACCTGTCACCTTTTCCATCCTTGTGCAGTACATCCTCCTGGAACTGCGCTTCTGGGGCAGCCGACCTCGGTCTTGCGTTCTTGCATCGCCTTCTCCTGACACAATCTCTTGAGAATCCGTTAAGGATGCAAGAGGTTCAGATTCTGTGGGTGGGTGTAGTGAGCTCTGAACTTGCACCGTGGATATGCCGATGTAGGGTTCTTCAGGCAAAGTGGCCACCCAACAGGATGTCGGATATCAGATGGGCGGCTACTCGGTCGGGAATGAGGGTTCGGAGCTTGTTTACGTGTGAGCGCTGCCAACTGGAAGATAGCTCAAGACATGCTCGCAAAGCCTAAAAGACCCAAAAAACCTGGCGCTACTCGGGGAAGAGGGAGGGGGGGGCGGGGGGGTGGAGCAGTCAGAGTTCAGGTCCGTGTGTTTCGAGTCGAATACTCCTCTCAAGTGTCCTAGTATCGGGGAGGGATGTACACGCGTACTCAGTATTGCATTTTACAGCAAGAAGCCACAGTATCAAGGCATAAAATCTTCTGTTGGACCCTAAACCCTAAACCCCTAAACCCTAAACCCTTGTTCAACCTGGGCCAGGCCCCAGTTTCTCAGAATCCCTGGGAGCAACACAGGCGAGGTGCAACTTGTGTCTTGCACATTTCGATCGTCTTCTTCATGGCAGCCTGACACACGTGCGTAGTTCTCTAAATCAGGCTAGATTTTGATGACGACTTATATATAGCAAGCCCCAAAATCCAGAACACTTACCCCCTATGTTGCCCAAGAGGGTATACGTTGCTCATGGCTTTCATGTGTGGGGATTCTGTAGGGAAACTACACTTTCGCGTCAAAAAGGGAACCTGCAAACGGTCGTCGCGAGGACTTGAAGCTACAGGGTGCGACAGTGCCGATTGGGTTTACTATGGTTCACCTCAAGGTCTTAATGCCTGTCAGGCTATGGCTCTGCCTGCATCTACTACGTTAAGTCAAGCAAGGGTTGCAAGGACTTCCTTCGCTGTAGAAGCTCAGCAGGTTGGCACCGAAAAAGAAGTCTGGCCACCCTTTGCCCACGCAAGCAACAAAGCTTAGGGGGCTTCATGCGCGAACCTGTCCTCGATAGCGATAGCGTTAGTAAGCATGGCTTAACACCCGGCATTGCACATGAATGGCGGGTTTCTGGTGCCTCTTCCCCCTTGGCCCAAGCCCACTTCTGCAGAACAAGGTCGAGGGCATCGTCCTGTGGACATGTTGCTTGCCTCTTCTAGATCCCGCCAGAAATAACATGAACATGTACTTTACAACACCTCCACCACCATCCTTACCATCAGCCGTACCGGCATTCTTGGATGCTGTCGCTTTGATTGTTAACATGGTACCATGTTTACGATGCTGCTGCAGGGTTCTGCACATGAAAACCACGACGAGGATGATGACCATGACGGTGATGATGATGGTCATGTTGATTATGAACCAATGTGCTGATGGCGATAATAACCCTGGTGGCAAAGAAGATGAAGAGGAACAATACGATGGTTATGGCGGGTATGATGACGATGACGTCCTTGGCACTGACGTCACCGAGGTATTCAGAAGTCAGCGACTTTGGACAGTTGCAGCCAGTAATGTGTGTGCCCCCGTCACGACAGAAGCTCAGCTAAGGAAACTGCTGACGATCTGCTCAGCGCAGGTAGCTTTAGACCTGATGGCCGAAAGCAACCTGAACCCCGGAACAAAGTGCGGCGCTCCGAAATTCCCATGGCGCCGAGGGATTGGCGAGTCTTTGGCTGCTCTTGTTAGAGCTTCGAGCCCGGCGTAAATACTGCAAAGCACAGACGCCTCACCTTGATGTGCTCTAGTTTGTGTGCAGATATTATGTGCCGCCTTAAGCCTTATAGCCCTTGTCAGTCATAAGGGAGGTCATGAACCAGGGAGTCTTCCTGGTGCTTCGCGTTGGTATTTCCAATAGTCATACCAATAAAATATTACTACTATTAAAGTATTGTTATTGTTATTATTATTCAGTCTTACTATTCCGAACACCTAAAAGCAGGCATAGAGTGATTCCCGCCAGTGTAAACACACTGGCAAGGCTCTCTCCACAAGGCACATGCACGCTAAATCTGTATGTTGATGAACGCCCAGGCTTTCTGAAGCACACGACAGCAAACGCATGTACATTACAAGACCCTTACTTGCAATTCTGGCATTATGGTGTGAGTCAGTCACGGCCTCAGCCCACAAGCCTTGTGTTCAGCAGGAAATGACAACTCCGAGCGGAAGCAGTCACTGCGAGAAAGATCTGCAAACCTGGCATCATGTGTAAGGCAACAGAGGCATGAAGCTAGTGCTTGCGGGTCACTCGTAGTCACAGTCTTTTGGACCGGTAGCAGGCAGTCTTGCAGAGCCCCCGGAAGGAAAGCTGTCAGTCAACCTTCTTGCTGTAGGCAATAGTGCCACGCTTCCGTAAGCTCTTGTAGTAAGAGGGCAGCGAAAATGAATACTGTACATGCGACTCATAAACAGAGTCTGCAATAAGTGAATCACAAGGATACACAAGCTCGCACGGGAGTTCGAAGCCCGCAGGGAGCACCCCATGTCTTCATGCTAGCGTGCCGCATTTCTGTGCAGTCTCTATAGTACTCTATAACCTTTCTTGAACTCAGAATCTGCCAATCAGCTGGGAAGCAATGATTACTCTATACCCTAAACCCTTTTAAATCCCGCACCACTGCGAAGCTCCGGAAGACCAGGAAACTCATTCCGGCGGTTGCCAAGGCAAGAAGCAAGCCCAGAATGGTACCGTCTAGAGTCTAGAGTCTACAGGTACGAGGCACCTAAGGAAACCAAGCTCGAACCAATCAATCAATGAGCTAAAAGGTCGGAATGCCCCAACATGCTGCTCCGGCGCTGCATATGGGATGTGCCCACGAATCTAGACTAGCTACGCACGACCTGCCCTTACCCAACAAACGCAACCACTTACCTGCTTCAGTTTCTGCTTTCCTGCGGGATGTAGGATCTCGTGTCCTCTCCCGATCGAGCTGCTCGTGTGCAAGGCATCTGCCAGCGACTTCAAGCTTTCAAGTTCACAGCCTGGCACAACCCTCGAAACAGACGGTGGCGCAATCATGGAATCACGTATCCAACGGAGACTTCACAGTTTCCTCTCTTGTGATCGCTCCTTTTCCGGGGTTGGGAGAAGCCACCGCAGATACCAAGCACACTTCCGAACTACATGCTGGCGCCGGCAGCCTCAGCAAATCCATGCATTGCCGGTCGGACATGGTGGAGCTGAGCGTGCGACAACGCCCATTGCTTAGTGTCACAAAGACGCCGAAACGCATAGTAGGGGCCACTGCCACTGCATCACCATCACCAGCGCCCACCACCAACCATGGTACAAACAGTCGCAACGGTAAACCGGGGCCCAGAACTGCAAGTGTGGAAGTATCAAAGAAAAATTGTGAAAGGATTCAGTAACGACATTTGACACTCCTCGAACCCCATACAAGTAGAAGGGTACATCAAGGACTTGCTCGGTCGCGCACTCAACCCGCACCCTGCTCCGGGAAATCATTTACCGAATTCTGCAAGAACGGGACGGTTCGCGAGAGGAAGCACAGTATTTCAATATTGCACATGACATATGGTTGGATGCAACCACTTAATATAGAAGCCTAAATAATTACCAATATTACTCCTTCGGGCTCCTTAGTACAATTATATTATGAAGGAGCCCAAAACCCTATTCTAATTAGTAAGGCCCCTACATTACCTAAACCCTAAACCCTAAACCCTAAACCCCTAAACCCCTACATTATAGGACTCTGGAGTCCCCTGAGCTTCGACGCTGTGCTCGCAGTCGAGTCAGGACTTGCTGGAGATGGAAGGCTTGGAGGATGCACCGCTGCAGCACGATGCCTTGGAACTTTAGAGTCAGTAGAGTTTAGGGTTTAGGGTTTAGGGTTTTTTTTTGTTTAGGGTTTAGGGTTTAGGGGAGTGGCTTCTACGCCGCAGTGGCGAGTGCGACATCATCTTGGGTTCCACTTCTTCGCTTCGTGCAACATCCATCGGCACAGGAGGGAATGCAGTAGAAGCAAGCCAGGATGCTGTTCCCTGTCCGTATATCCGTAAGTTCCCGAAGGATAGCCGCAATCCAGACCCAACAGCCGGCTAGTTCCCCTGACTCTCAAGCGGCACCAATTGTAGGGGACTCACCCTAAACCCGGAAACCCTAAACCCTGAACCCTTTTTGCCTAGATCCTGAGCCTCAGATCCCACGGGCTGGCACTTCACTACGGCAATGTTTCCGCTTCCCGCTTCGAGAGCCAAGGCCCTATGAGTCCGGCCAATTCACCAACCTTGGGACTCTCGAAACACCTCTAGAATATAATATAAGTATAAAAAGATATGCATATATATATATATATATACATTATGCATACACACACACACACACATATATATATATATATGCATATATAATAAGTCGACGTCATAATAGAATATGAGCATAGTATGATATTTTAGATGTAACCGAACCCTTGTCAGGGCACCGCCGGAGTGGAGGTTCCTGTGGAGGGAGTGCGGGCAGGCAGGAGCAGCGTCAGCGTGGCCATGTTCCTGCCGCCCAGCTTTTGGGTTTAGGGTTTAGGATTCAGGGTTCAGGGTTTATAGGGTATAGGGTTTGGGGTTCAGGGTTTACGACTTAGGGCTTATACAGTTTGGGGTTCAGGGTTTAGCGTTTACAGGGTTTAAGAGCTGTTAGTATAAAGCCCGACGTGGGAAGGTACGTTCTTCAGACATGCCTTGCAGGTTCAGGGTTTAGAGTCTATAGGTCACCATTGACAGAAAATCATTGATCACTGCTACCAGCCGGTTCATTGGGCTTTCTTGCCTGCCGGCTTGTAACTTTTCAGTTTTGTGTCTGGCCGCGGCACATGCGGCTAAGTAATGAAGTGGCCACAATGATTCCAAAAGGGCCGGGGTATGCAGCCTACAAGGCTTAAGCAGATTACGATATATTTGGTCCTACTGCAAGACCTCTATATATATATATGTGTGTGTGTGTATGTCTGTATGTGTATATATATATATATATATATATACAGTGTGCCTGTATATGTATATTTGATTGCATGTGTTTTTGTAGAGGTGGATGTATTTTTGCAGGCATGTCTGATGGGTTTCGAGAATTTGCAGGGTAGCTCGGCAAAATGCTTCGCCGCGTGTACTGACGGCGTCCAAAAACTTGACGAAAAAACTTCCCCCGCCGTGTCTGCTGCATTTCGCGCAAAGATGGATCCAGAGAACTGACTCTCTGTTATTGCTACGACTACTATCTTTATTCTTATTCTTGTTGTTCTGATTTAGTACCCAGCCGGCCTCGATCTCGATGCTTTGCTATGAGGGCCGGGCTCATGCCTGCCCAGCGACGTCTCTACAGCCCGAAAACTTTAAACGTGCTGCCATCCCGTGAGCTCCATCAATCAGAGGACCCCGTAACAAGAAAGGGAGAGCAGGACCAAAAGTGTTTGCAACGTTCAGCACCCCGATGCCGTCGCAGGCTTTACAGGGATTGCGAGCATAGAAAGGCAGCGAAGCTATTTTCAAGGCTGCCATCGAGACGAGCTTGATCAGCTAGCACCAGCACCCGAAAGGTTGCTAAACTCTACGCAAATAAAGCACACAAGACTACACGAGAAACACGATGCTCTCTGGGAAGGAGGATCGAATCCCCTTCACGCTCCCGGCTTGCCAAAGGTTTAACCTTTGTGCAGGAGGCCTCTTCGGCGGTGCAAGTTCCTTCCCGTGCCGGCAGTACTGAAATGCCCTAGTCCTACGGGCACCCCACCCAGAACGAAGTTCTAGGACTCTAGGGTTCGGTGTTCAAGTTGTTGAAGGGTAAACGACTAGGGTTGGGACAATACAGTGGGTGACAGTTTACGGGCTGTGAGCACGACGACGTGGACTTCGTCGGGCTCTGCATGACAGCGGTCTGCGTCGAAGGTAGGGAACAAAAGGCGTGATCTCGCAACGGCTCAGCTTTTCAAGTGGGCCGTTTGCCCCTTCTTCTTCCTCGGCCAGGCAGGCAACGGGCCCAGGCTGAAGACACGGGCCAATCTTTTCGGACCCATTAAGCACACTTTGCCAAAAGCCTCAAGTTCGCCTGCCCGATAGCCACCCGAGCAACTGCAATTGAACCGGCTCATGCAAGCGGCAGCTGCGTCTTGTGTACCTGGATAGCCCTTCTTTGTTCCTTTCGCCGCCGCTTCTTGGATTTCTCCTGAGACAGGAGCCGGCTTAGGTTGCGAAGGCAAAGGTATGCTGGAGTCTGCTGGATCTGCGTGTTCTACCAAATGAGCACACATCAAACACAGGCGGAACCTGTTGCTTCAGACATCACCGGTTCCAACAGAATCTGGCGTGCAGCAGCATGGCATGGAGTTAGCTTTGACCATCACCCCATTGACCTCCTGGCACTAATGTTCGAAAACAGATTCCCAGCCCAACACACACTCTGCTCGGAAAACGTATCTTCTCCTCCCAGGCACCCTCTCGCATACATCCATGGGGCCTATCTGGAACTTTGATACATGCTTTGGACACACGATCAAGACATGTACAGATACGTATGTATATATATATATATATATACATATCTGTATGTATGTGATTACAATCAACCAGCTACCCCTCACACTCGGACACTCCAGACGAGCCACTTAGGGTTCAGGCAGGTTCGGGGGTACAGCACGGAGAGTTTAGTGCCTCAAGGCTCACTCGAGGGGACTTCTGCAAGGCACAAGGTACACGGTTTCTGCAGGGGTTCATAAGGTTCCATAAGCCAAAGGGGCGACATCCACCTTCATCTGTGTATCTTTCTCGGGCGTCGCCTTTGGTGAGACAGCCTCGAAAGGGCACCGACCCCGTTTGTTAGGGTTTCGGCGCGCGCACTCCGATGTTCGAGTTGCGGCGGGTGGGCTTGAAACCTATGAGGTGAAGTCTCTGTGCTCCTGATCCGAACTATTGAGTTAGGGGCTTGAACTAAATTGTTAGCAAAGCCTGCTATGAACAGTCGGAGATCAAAGCCGCTACATGATACATGCGGACACACACACACACACACACACGTGCAGCTATTTTTGTGGTCGTTGTTGATTGCTTTCAACTAATTCCGTTAGTATGTCTCGTTGTGCCTGTTATGGTTTAAGGCGGTTGGTTGGTTAATCATGTGTGAGTGAGTGAGTAAGTCAGTCAGTCACTCATAGTCATGATATGCCTTTGTTGCTTTGTCACCTATAAAATGCAGTCTAGGATACAGGGCTTAAAGGCTGGTTCTGTAGAGAAGTCTTCATATTGCACACTGAAGCAAGTATCTGCTGTAGGTTCGCACACCCACTCAGTGAGCCCCAAGCCCCTACTCTGACTGTCTCTGGAGTGGTTCCAAGGCTTTCCGGATGAGGATTGGCGGTACAAGGGGCCTCTTCAGATCAGGGGTTTTTCGGGGTATATGAACATATAGTCACAACAAGGAACCCTCAGGAAAAACATCGGTTTAGGTTTCTATATTAGGTCAGCCGGGGCTGCCTATTCATGAGGCCCAAAGCCGCAAAGCTTTCGGCATTGAAACCGCAGGCCATGGGGAAGAAAAGAGTTCAATGCGGCCCAAACAGGACTACAACCCTACACCCGAAACAACCCTGCACCCTAAACCCTAGCAGGACTCATGTCTACATGGACTTGTCATGGATTCTGAGCAGGGGCTTAGGGCTTAGGGGTTTAGGGAGTTTCGGCTATAGGGTTTAGGGCCTAGGGTCCAATTCGTCCGCGCAAAAGCTTGAAGACTCCATCCCGGAGACAGACATGGAAAGCGACGCAACCAAGGGGAAGCTGAGGCACTCGTAGCTCTCAAAGAGCAACCACCCATGAAACTCCGAGGATGGGAGGTTCAAATTACCCCTAAACTCTTTGGTTTGAACCAAGAGCTCTCCAACCATAAGCAGTAAACCCTAAGACTGACAGAGACGTGACGATGTCGAGGCCAAACCGTAATCATTTTCAGCTCATTCTCGACTTAAGACCTGAAGTTCGACTTCAGTCCTTCCCACCCTAGAAACTACAGAGTGCTAAATAATTAGAACAGGGTTTTGGGGGTTCCTGATTATAATTCAAATATAACAGACCCCGAAACCCTATTCTAATTGTTAAGGCCCTACTGGCCTTCAAGGTGGGTGATGGTGCCGGCATGGCCGTCGGCGAAGTCTTCCCGACTTTGCCGAGACTCAGGGCTTGCTTCCTGGAGCTTGGGATTTTTCAGATTTCGAGGCTCTGAAACTGAACAATACATGAATGAATAAATAAATGAATATATATATATATATACACACACATGTTTATTTATATCTGTGTTCATATCTATGCATGTTCATACATTGTTTTCTACATGTACATAGATTTATCTGTTCATGCTTATTTAGTTTTGTACTATATATGGTGGAATAATCACGGGTAGATTTCGAGGCCTGGGTTAGGCGGATGTTCACTTTCAGTTTCGCCCTGATGCCGCCATGCAGTCTGTGATTGTTACACACAAGAGGCATCATAATTTCCAGAATCGGCAGCAGCCGACAAAACGAAGAAGCCCTTGTCAATTCGTGCACATGGACCGGTTCAGTGCTTCCGATTCTCCGCGGTGCAGGTGTTACGGACATGACACGTCGCCATGTACAACGCAAGAGTCGGAAGTGCATGCCGCAATCCAGCTGACAACGGACGAATTCTGTGACTAGCAAGCACTGAAACAGGCAGTGGTGACCGTGACGAGTCTGTACGGGAAACCATGTTCTTGAAAAGCGAGAAAACAATTAGATGCAGCGAGCGCGGCCACCAGTTTTGCCCCAAAGTAGCGTGCACATAAAAGCGGAAACAAGCAGCTGACCAATTGATCAACATTCGTCATGAAGAATAGGCTTACAATCAACTTGTCATTCCCAACGTGATGAACTCGAGAGATGCACAAACTCCCCCGAAGCCTCTTCTCCCGCTTTTGGGACTTTGTAAGCTTTGGCGCCTTCGGTTCCTCGGTCCGGCAAACAAAACCTCTAGTCTCCATTGTAGTTTTTTTCAGTTCAGCCAACTTTTATATTTAGGATCCTAAAGGCCTAAAGGTAACCCCCAAAAGGAACTACAATGGAGACCACAGGTAAGTGTAAAGCCTGTAACACTTCTTCGTAGCCATCACGTGGGGATAGCAAGGGTAAGTATCCTAAAGCCGTTGCAGGATACGGGTTGGTTTGTGCTTGCATCTGCTTGTACTTGTCCCCTGATTGGATGGATGGATTCCTACAACGCAGCAATGCAGCCCTGTCCGATGTAGGCTTACATTGCATGGCCCTACAGCCCCTCCCCGTGGCCAAAGCACGGAAATCTCCATGCTCTGTGGCTTATTGGCAGCTTTGTTCTTCTTCGGCTTCTCCTCGGCCCAGTGGCACACAACTTCCACAAGCCATGGAACACATGTGAGTTCAGCGGCATGGACAGACAAGACTCTGTGTGCGTACACACATTGCTTCAATTCCTATGCTCGCTCGTGTGCGCGAGGGCGTATGTAGACATAACATAGTATGCTCTATGATATCGGCACGTACACAAACTTTCAAGTTTCCCTGTAAGCACGTAAAAAACTAGATTGCAAAATGTACCAGATGCATGTGCACACAGATATGCACATTTAGATGCACATGTGTTTCTCTGTCGTATATATTTATATATAAGGCATACATATATGTATACATCGATATATGCATATCAAAACATACGTATACACACAGACATACATACCCCCAAAGGCTCCATGTACCTTCATAGTAGATACTTAAGCCTTGAAGGGGTCCCTATATAGGTACTTTAAGGCCTACGCATATACTATATGGGCACATGGAGCCTTAGGGACATACATAGATACGTACATACATACGTACATGTATGAATCCATGCATACATACATGCAGACATACACACATGCATGCATGCATGCATGCATGCATGCATGCATGCATGCATGCATGCATATATACATACATGCATACATGCATACATACATACATACATACATACATACAGATTCTACATACATACATACATACATACATACATACATACATACATACATACATACGTACATACACATGCATTGTGACAGGTGCAGACAGATCCGCAAGTCTTCCGGCCTCCCTCCTTCCACCTCCCTGACTCTTGCCAAACGCGCAAACCCTTCAGCCAGTCTCCTCCATGGACAAGACGTTGTACTTCGGAAGGTTATTGATAACCTTCTTGACTGTACCCTTGTACCTGGGCTGATTCATTCCCGAGAAGATAATCTACCGGCAGCCGTGCTGGCATACAAGATCCACGAACACAGCGGAGTGGTCAGAGCCGTGCTCACAGACAGCCGCGCTGCTTGGGCCCGTTGAACTTCCGGGCACCTTTACATTTCCCGTTCTTCACATGGCGCTTCACCATCGTTTCAAAATGTAGAATGTAGAACCACACGGAAGGTCGTCCCCAGCTAGATTAAAGACCTGCGAGCTCCCTGGACCATTTTGTGATGGAAATATCTCCCACCCCCACAGGTTGAACTGTCGAACGTTTAACGTGCGCAGATGACATGGGCATTCGCGTCTGAGCCGAGCTGCCGGAGGACATCGACAGGCTTACAGGATCATGGGACTTAGTACTGCAACTATATCCCACTTAACTAAAGTACTAAACCCTGCAACGCTGAAACACGCGGGGCTTCGGCAAAAGTCAACGGCCAGAAAGCGGATGCGAACTAAGGACATCCTCGAATAAACAGCCTTGCCCCGGAACCCCAAACCCCAAACCCTAAAGCCCCGGAACCCTAAACCCTAAACCCTGCCTCGAAACAAAAGGGACCTGCTGTGGTCGCCGAGTCTCTCCGGCCACGGACTGCCAAGCAAAGGACGGCAAGGGAAATACAGGGCCTTATAGGGTTTTTTGCCTCCTACTGAGCAAGGACGAGCCTGCATTGCAGGGTTTAGGGTTCAGGGTTTAGGTACTAAGACGAAGCCATTGGGGTGCATTATACTAGAACCCTTTGCCTTATGGTACAGTAGCCCTTATATTCACCCTCATAGTATTTCTTACCCCTAAACCCTAAAGCCTTATTGATGTAATTATTACTATTATTATTGTGGTATTTCTTGCAGCACCCGCTCTGCACTACGGCGCTTCCGAATGTCTCGAGATCTCCAGCCTTGCGGGTCGAGTATCGGATCTGAGGCTCGCTGGACGCTCGCCAGAGGCGCTCCTGAAAAGCTTCAGAACTTGAGGGTCTTTCGGCGGGTTAGGCATAGGACAGCTTCAGAACTGAGGGCTTTTGCGGTGGTTATTCTTAGAACAGCCTCGGATTTATTTGGAAAGCTTCAGAGCTTAGGGTTTTTTGGTGTGTTTAGTCTTCGGAACGCTTCAGAACTTAAGGTTTTTGGGGGTGTTTCGTCTTAGGAAGGCTTCAGAACTTAGGGCTTTTGGGGTAGATAGTGTTCGGAAAGCTTCAGAACTTAGGGTATTGGGGGGGTTAGTCTTAGGAAAGCTTCAGAATTTAGGGTCTTTGGGGTGGTTAGTCTTAGGAGCGGGCTGACAAGTGGTGTGCTGTCGGGACCCACATGCACCATGAGTCGGTCGTACTTGCTTCTCTGCTGTGGTGTTTGTTGCTCCAGGGCAAAGGCGACACAGCACGTAGTAGTGATCCACCGTAGTGCTTCTGTGCTATGTGGCGTATTTGCGGCTCCTATAAGGCATGGTTAGAGCTGCCTCCTGGCTTAGCACCAATGGCATGACGACGATTGCAGGCACAACTTTTTCCACGTGAGACTCCTACCGAGCTCGCAGTGGCGGACATCGTCACCGCCAGATACCGCCAGCACATGCTGAGACATCGACGTCTCAACCAACTGATCAGGTCCCGGTGTCTAGAGTCTAGGACTAGGACCGAAAGAGAAGAAACAGAAACAAGAGAAACAGCATGCTGCCTGACGTTTAGATGGCAGGGGACGGAATTCCTATCTCGAGGGCCCGTCTGCCCAACCTGACCTCAAGGGGAACCATCAACTCCTAGGATTTCTCCTTCTGGCGTTCCAGCTGGTGCTGCAAGTCTTCAATAGTCTTGGCCTGGTCTTGGATCTGCTGCTTCTGCCTCAAGGATGACGCGAAGACAAAAGTTCCGGGACGCAGTGCGGGAATACGTCGGCATTGAAATGGAATATCGAAATCCCCTCGAGAACAAAACCGAGCAGCCTAGATTCGGCAAGGATAAAAACAGTGACTATATATATATATATATACATACATGTCTCACTAGATATATATATATATGTGCACATACATTTCACAAATCTATCTATCTATCTATCTATCTATCTATGTATCTATCTGTCTCTATACATATATACACATATGCACATCCCATGGCGACGGCCACAGAAGCTATTCAGCCTAAGACACCCCCGAGCATACACACCCTGATATCCCTACACTCGTCGAATCGTCAACGACCTCCAACCCGTCGAGCCGTTCCCTCGAAAACTCGAGCCGCGCCTCAGCGCCTCGGCAGCACTGGCCTCGCGCGAGGCCAGAAGTGATAGGCGTCGCCTGGAGCTTTCACAGTAGCTTAGAATCCCTTAGAAGAGCTGATCCTTATAGGCCCCATTTCCCCAAACTCTAAATAGGGCTGGAGAATTGAGATCCATCTGCCTGGAGCTGAAGGCGGGCGATTTGTTTCAAATTCACTTTCATGCTCGGTTCAGGCTTCCAGATGCCTAACCTTCAACCCTAGCTGTAAGGGCACTGAAAAAAGTATTCACAGGGATACCAGCTGGAAACACATTCGTCGATTATAACCGTCTCAAGCCCACAGCAGCTGCAGAAGAAAGTCGGCAAGGTTCTTCCGCAAAAGTGTCAGCATTCACAGCATCTTGACACTTGACGGTAAACACGTGAAAGAGACGAAACCAGGGTGATGTGAGTGAGAAGCTGGCTCTAATCTAAAAGCCTTTCAAACTATAGGACACCCCCTATGTAGGTACTTTAGGGCCAATGTATATACTATTTGGGTACATGGACCCTTAAACCCCAAAACCTTATAGTATTATAGTACCCTTATAGAAAACCTTTAAAGGAACCCTATTTGGGTACATGGACCCTTAATTAGGGTCACTTCCAAGGATCTCCAGCTCCACCTCGGCGCGTCGGTTGCAGTCAGCCAGATGGCTGTTCACGCGATCTTCCTGGGTTTGAAGAGGGTTTCGGCTCTCACACTCGGACAATCCAGGCGAGGCATACGGTACGAGGTCTGCAAAGTGAAACCCACACACATGCTTCAAAACAGACAACGAGGACCCTGTCTCAGAACCTCTAAGTCAACACTTTATGCACGTGTGTCCACCAAACTCCGCTCGTCTCTGTAACTAGTTAGCGGACTTCGACGGAATGCCATACAGGAGGGAACAATGTTTATGGTTCAGGTAGGGCAGTTAAGGCAGTAATGGG